CGGCAACAGTCACCACGGCGCCTGTGCCAGGCTAGGTGCACTTTGAGGCTACCCCGTGAAGCGTCGAAGGCCTCGCTGCTGACAGGAGAAGGTCTCAGAACAGACCCAGCAGGTGCCACGGGTCGACTGACCGAGATGACCGGTAGATGCACCACCAGCTGCACCCCCTACTGTGCCAGGCTAGGTGCAGGAGGTCTCAGGACAGACCCAGCAGGTGCCACGGGTCGACTGACCGAGATGACCGGTAGATGCACCACCAGCTGCACCCCCTACTGTGCCAGGCTAGGTGCAGGAGGTCTCAGGACAGACCCAGCAGGTGCCACGGGTCGACTGACCGAGATGACCGGTAGATGCACCACCAGCTGCACCCCCTACTGTGCCAGGCTAGGTGCAGGAGGTCTCGGGAGAGACCCAGCAGGTGCCACGGGTCGACTGACTGAGATGGCCGGTGGATGCACCACCAGGGGGCTGTGCCCCCTACTGTGCCCCCCAAACACACACACACCTACAGGTAGCGGCAAACACAACGCGCAGTCAGTGGCGTCGTCACCACCACCACCGGCACCACGGAGACTGCTCACGAGAATGCCCGGACGTCGACTTCACGCGGCGGCTGCTCCTGCTGCTCCTGCTGCTCCTGCTGCTCCTGCTGCTGCTCCTGCTGCTGCTCCTACTGCTGCTCCTACTGCTACTACTGCTGCTCCTACTGCTACTTTTGCTACTACTGCTGCTGCTCCTGCTGCTCCTACTGCTACTCCTACTGCTGCCGCTACTACTCCTACTGCTCCTGCTGCTGCTCCTGCTGCTGTCACTGCTCCTGCTGCTGCCGCTGCTGCTACTCCTACTGCTGCTCCTACTGCTACTGCTGCTGCTGCTCCTACTGCTCCTACTTCTACTGCTCCTGCTTCTGCCGCTGCTGCTCCTGCTGCCGCTGCACCTGCTGCTGCTCCTACTGCCGCTCCTACTGCTGCTACCGCTGCTGCTACCGCTGCTGCTCCTACTGCTACCGCTGCTGCTGCTGATGGCCAAAGACGTTTCCGGAGCGTCTCCACGGCTCCCGCCAACGCGGCTGTTTACGCGCCGCCATGGCAACCGCACGGGGTGGGGTGGGGGGCATCCCGCGTAGCCACGAAGACAAAGATCACAAACACAAAGGGGCCGCCCATAAATGACATCACGCACCTAGGGGGGGTGGCGGGTCAGACATTTGTGACGATGTGTGACGAGGAGGGGGGGGGGGGGTGAGAAATGTGACGTCACATCAAAATGCGCGACTTTAAATAAATATAGACAACACGTTCTACTTAATTAAATTTACTTTTTACGAAGTGTTTTCTACCTACATCAGAGTGCAGCGCCACATTAGATACGCACTACAATGACAATAGTTTAAAGCGATTTGAAGCATGTTTTTTTTGGGGGGGGGGCAGAGCTTTGTGACGTCATATTTGAGGGGGGGGTCTGACTTTTTGTGACGCCGTGTGACGAGGAGGGGGGGGGTCAAAAATCGTCCAAAATCGCGTGACGTCATTTATGGACGGCCCCTTACCCCGTATTCTTGTACAGGGAAATTGAGTTTTAAAGTCCAGACGGCGTACAGCCGTTTCAATACGGGCACAAACATGGAACATCTTCGCCGGTTAGAAACATTTAGGCTAGCCTGCTTACGATCCATCCTGGGTTTAACTTGCAGGCTGGATTGTGTGAGGAGCTCACAAATCCTTGAAAGATCTGGGCAGGGTCCCATCGGTGAGCTCCTCCGGCAGGCAAGGCTGCGATGGCTGGGTCATGTAGCCCGCATGCCCAGCCACCGCATGCCGAAACAGCTTTTGTTCGGCCGGATCGAGGGGGCTAAACGGGCGCGGCACGGGCTAGAGAAGAGATGGAGTGATGTGGTACAGGAGGACGTGGAGCTGAGTGGACTTGCCGATGACTGGTACCAGCGGTGTCAAGATCGGCCTCTGTGGAGGAGGCTCGTGAAGGACGCTGCTGGGCAGTTGGAGGCAGTCGCCCTCCAACAACAACGGAGGGCGGAGGTGCGACGCTCACAACAACGAGCGGAGCGCCGGGTGGCTAAAGCACAGCAGGTTGGCACAGTAGGGGGCACAGCTGGTGCACCGGCCAGTCATCTCAGTCATCTCAGTCAGTCGACCCGTGGCACCTGGGTCTGCCCCGTGACCTTCTGCCAGCGGGCGTTCGACACTTCACGTGACCTCAATGTGCACATGGCCTGGCACAAGCGTCGTGGTGACGTCACCGACACTTAGTGGCGAATGGCGGTTGTTGTTGTTTCTCCCTTGTGATGGGACTTTGTAGAATGAACGTTGAGATTTATAAGGGGCACGGCGGTGACCAATAAGATCTAGCATTGGTCTGTAATCAGGTAGGGCACTGATAAGGGGTTTGACAGGTGTGGTAATGTGGAATGTCCTCCACATACAGATGAGCTCAATGGGGGGAGTGAGATATGGGGATCGAGGGGTGAGTTCTCGTTCGAGCAAGGGCAACACGACTTTAAAACAAAAACAACAAACAAAAAAGAATACGACGTTTCGATTGCAACACAAGCAACCATCATCAGGTACAAATGAATGAGAAAACAAACCAAGTAAACTTACAATACAACACAGAGAGAGTCGGCCAACACAACAGTCAACACCCCACCTGGTTGATTACGTTCTTCCAAAGATTGCTAAATTTGAGAGAGACAAAACATAGACACGGAGACACACAGACAGACACACAAGCAGAGAGAGACTCACACAGAGACAGAGAGAGACGCACATAGGCACACAGACACACACATAGGCACACAGACACACACATAGACACACACATAGACACACAGACACACACATAGACACACACATAGACACACAGACACACACACAGGCACACAGACACACACATAGACACACACATAGACACACACATAGACACAGGCACACAGACACACACATAGACACACACATAGACACACAGACACACACATAGGCACACATAGGCACACACACATAGGCACACACACACATAGACACACACACATAGACACACAGACACACACAGGCACACAGACACACACAGGCACACAGACACACACATAGACACAGAGACACACACATTGTTAAAAATTCGGTCACAGTTCCTATGATCACTGTTACATTGCATTTATGGCTTTATTTTGGTGATTTCTAAAAGTTTTTTGGTTTGGCCATGTTTTTGTTTATAGTAGTACGGAGTTAGACTGATGGCCTTAATCTAAGTTTTCTTGTTGTTGTTTGACTTGCATCCCACTGGGATCTTTGCACACAGCGTTGGTGTACGGTGCTATATCGGGAATATTTTGATGTTTTTTCCTGGATTTTCTGTTTTCACATGCACAAAGTCACTTTAAGATGTTTTCTTGTTCATGTTTTTGTTTTTTTGTTTGTTGCGGTTGCACCCGATTCAAGAGCCGAATGGCTCACAGGGCTATACCAAATAAATGAAACTATGAAACTATGAAACATTCACATAGACACACACAGGCACACAGACACACACATAGGCTAACAGACACACCCAGACATACAGACACACACAGGTACACAGACACACACATAGGCTAACAGACACACACACAAACACACACATAGACACACAGACACAAACACACACATAGACACACAGACACAAACACACACATAGATACACAGACAGACACACACATAGGCACACACATAGACACACAGACACACACATAGACAGACAGACACACACATAGACACACAGACACACACACAGACACACACAGACACACACATAGACACACAGACACACACATAGACACACATATAGACACACACATAGACACACAGACACACATATAGACACAAATAGGCTAACAGACACACACACAGACACACACATAGACACACAGACACACACATAGACACACACATAGACACACACATAGACACACACACACACACATAGACACACAGACACACACATAGACACACACATAGGCTAACAGACACACACAGACACACATATAGACACACAGACACACACATAGACACACAGACACACACATAGACAAAGACACACAGACACACACATAGACACACACATAGGCTAACAGACACACAGAGACACACAGACACACACATAGACACACAGACACACACATAGACACACACATAGACACACAGACACACACATAGACACACACATAGACACACAGACACACACAAAGACACACAGACACACACATATAGACACAAATAGGCTAACAGACACACACACAGACACACAGACACACACATAGACACACAGACACACACATACACACACACATAGACACACAGACACACACATAGACACACAAACACACACATAGACACACAGACACACACATAGACACACAGACACACACATAGACACACAGACACACACATAGACACACACATAGACACACAGACACACAGACACACAGACACACATATAGACACACACACATAGACACACAGACACACACACAGACACACACATAGACACACAGACACACACACAGACACACAAACACACACATAGACACAGACACACACACAGACACACACATAGACACACAGACACACACAAAGACACACAGACACACACATAGACACACACATAGGCTAACAGACACACACACACATAGACACACAGACACACACACAGACACACAGACACACACATAGACACACAGACACACACATAGACACACAGACACACACATATAGACACAAATAGGCTAACAGAGAGACGTCTCTGTTTCGAGGCCTTAAATACAGAGAGGGAGGGGTTGGGGCAGAGGGGGCGTTGTGTTCGAATCTAGTTTGAACAAACAAAAATATTTACTTTATTTTCAACGTCAGTACATTTGTATCATTCGTTTTAACGTTAATATGTCAACGACAACAATTTTTTTAAATAAATAATAATAATTAGCATTAAGGTAAATTACGTCACCGACCTCTCTCGTCCAATCACGCGCGTGGGGCCTGTAGCGCTCAAGTCCCACCGCGGCGCGCGGTTCGTGTTGCGTTATCCGCCTCGCTCTCTGTCGCCTTCAGCAAACTCTCTACGCGTTATTAGACTTTAAACTCTCATTTTATTTTTAATAAAAAAAACATTTTGACTTCGTAAAGTTAACGCTTACGACAAGGCTTGGTTTAGCGGACGCTGTCGGTCGACGTTGTTAGTTGCTTTAAGCCCAGCGAGCTGACGCTGCCGTCCGATTACCTCAGCGCACAAATATTTAACCGAATGTTACTTTGAAAAAAATAATACTTTTTAACCTCCGCCAAGTGTTTAATCGCGCTTATATTAACACACTGCAAGATCTGCATAACCCGTCGGAATGGGTGAGAAAAGTAATCCTTCGTCATTTTCCCACTTTTACATGTTCCGTTTAATTACAAATTACGGTGCATTAAACGCACCCGTGCGTGAGTAATTGCTCGTTCGCCGTGGCTGTACGCGATGAGTAATCGTGTCCAAAGTTTCGCGTTTATTAAATACGGCTCCCCCTGAGCGGATTCACCGTCATTAAGACTCGTCAGCATCGCCGCACCGGTTGCCCCACTGTAACCAATGCAGGACACCGAGAAACTTTACTGTCAATCCACTGCTGGATGATTGAATGCCCCTCCGACCGTGCCGTGCGAAATCCTGCGCGAGGAGTTTTAATTCCTTAGTGTCAATTCAAGTGTTGTCTAATTGTGCGTTCAAGTATTGCCTATTGTGCATGGAAATCTTGCCTAATTGTGCATTAAAATATCGCGCTTTAAAATCCTGCTAATTGTGCGTTGAAATCTTGGCGATTGTGCGTTCAAGTCTTGCCTTTTGTGCGTTGAAATCTTGCCTAATTGTGCATTCAAATCTTGCCTAATTGTGCATTCAAATCTTGCCTAACTGTGCATTCAAATCTTGCCTAATTGTGCGTTCAAAGCTTGCTTATGGTGCGTTCAAGCATTCAAATCTTGCATATTGTGCATTCAAATCTGGCCTATTGTGCATACAAATATTGCCTAATTGTGCATTCAAATCTTGCCTAATTGTGCATTGAAATCTTGCCTATTCGTTCAAATCTTTGCCGTATTGCTTGGCATGCAAGACGGCGAGGGAAGAAGGAGCGGCGATAGTTCGCCGACGACGGCGGGAGTCGAGAGCGACTCGGACGGCGACTTAGACCGCAACCCCTCGCCACCGCCGGGCAACCATGGACCGGCCACCGACACCATCGGTGACACGACATACAGCAAGCACTGGCTCTTCGCCACGCTCACCAAGCTCATACAGGTAGGTTAGGCGCTCACCTCGAGCTGGCGACGTGGCCGAACGGCTGCTGATGTTGCTGCAGAGCAAACAAGTACAATGTCACATTCAGGTGGTTAGGGCCAGATGACCGAGGGAAAACAGCATCAGCAGCAGTGGAGTGTGATCGCTGTGATGTCCTCTGTGTTTGTGAATGAGGACATTATTGCGTCGTTATGTTGTTGTTACGGTCTGTTCTGGATGACCGCAGTCACACTACTGGAGAGTTAATTTTCCATTTGTGCATCAGCTATCGTCATCTACTGCCGTAGTTTGTGCAGTGGATGCGGTTTAGGGTGGACCGTGAGCAGCTTCGTGGAAGATCAAACCCAGGGATCTTCTGCGTTGGGTCTTCGATAGATCTTATTAAAATCACTAAAATTAAATTAGTTTTGCAACAATTTCGCTTGTTAATTTGCAATTGTGGAATGCTTTTATGTTGCCTGCCAGGCCAAGTCACCCTTGAAAAAGAGCTTAGCTCAGTGGGCTTTACTCGGGGAAATTAACTCCTGAATTAAATTTCCGAATTCAACTTATGATTCTGCAGAGGCTTGCGGTTTGGTCACCTGCGGCCGCCCTGGATAACACTGCAGCATGGTGTTGTTAATGTGCAAGTTGCGTGCCGTGGGGTAAAGCATGGGTATTGCCACCAATTCCAAGGCTACTGGACATCTGTGAAAAAAGCCTTATAGCTCATCGGATTCTTCCAGTACAGAGAAGTCTGATCTGGCTAGCATAGAAGAATAGGCGAAAATGTTTTTTAAAAGGGGGATCTCTGGAGTTCCCCCCAGTGGAAGCCCTTCCGCCAACGTTGACGTGAGAAAAGCAGTGCAGAGCTGCGCCTTTACCTCATCTGTATTAACTTAACTATTTGTATTACTAACGTAGCTTTTTTCTTCTTTGGTTCTTTCGGTAAAGTCACGTAGAATGAGAATAAAATAATAAATTGATAAAATAAAATAACAATAATATTCTCACGACGTTTCGGCCACAACACAAGCGGCCTTCATCAGGTGAAGGGACGAGACTGTCTGGTTGGACAGCACTGGAGTCCCTTCACCTGATGAAGGCCGCTTGTGTTGTGTCCGAAACGTCGTGAGAATATTATTGTTATTTTATTTTATCAATTTATTATTTTATTCTCATTCTACGTGACTTTACCGAAAGAACCAAAGAAGATGAATCATTGCAGTCACGAAAGCTTTAAATAGAAAACTAACGTAGCTGTCTGCATTTTTTTATTGTTGACGTAACTGTTTGTGTGTTCCCCAGGCCGTTACCACGGAGGAACCACGGTTGGGACGAGAGGCCAGGGAGGCTCCCCCGGAGTCGGACCACGTCGACGAAGATCTGGAGGACGATGTCTGCAGGCTCTGGGACATGTCCACCGACAAGGCAGGGATCTTGCCATTTGTGTTGCCGCGATAAACGATAACACTGACACCTCCTAAAGCAAAGCATTGCATACCAACACTGTGAGCACTTAAAACAAAACAAAAATCATTTTTCCAGGTGTAAGGCCCCACTGAGCTACGTAGATATTTTTTGCAAAAGCGACCTGGCCATCACAAATGACAGTCGACGAAGTGGCTTATCGTCATTGTGTAGAAATCTTTAGCGGCCAAATACTCTCCACGCGTGTTGTTGATTCTAAATGTGGAGGGAAAAACCGGAGGACCCGGAGAAAAATCCACACGGCCACGGTGAGAACTTGCCCCAATGCCTAATATACAGGCGTCAGGGTCGGCATCAAAACCCCGACCTCCTGTATACCAGGCGAGGTAGTTAACGTCTAGCCACCGTCGCGTATCGTATCTTTACGATGCGATGCAAAATCAAATTTCACGATTGCCACGACGTACACTTCCTATAACGTGATGAAGTTAAACCCCTAGATTCTGAGGTGGTCGTTCAAACTGTCACCACTGAGATCCTGGGTTCGAATCCAGACGGGTGACTGTGATTAAGCTGAGTTCTGAAGCGCGGTGAGTTGGTGGTCTCAGCCCAGACATGAATGAGCGTTACATAAAGTTTTGTTCCGCATTCAGATTTTGGATCAATTTCAAGCTCTTCAAGTATTAAAATATCACTCGGACTGTCGTGTGTATGCACCAGCGGGTGGGAAAGCGCCACCCTCTTCTGTGTGATCCAGACCAGAGGTCATTTGAAAGGATCTCAGCGCTGGCTCTGTGATATCCGGTTCTCTAGCACGGAGGCTTGCACTGCGAGATCCGAATGGGTTCTCCGTCCCGTGACGAGACGCTGACAGCGCAACAACATTGGGGGCAGGAATTTTTGTTAAATTTATTTATCCGAAACAAAACAGTGGCACCCTTATTAGATTCAAAAACCTGTCGCTTTTCTGTTTAACACGTAGGAGGCTTTCACGACCAATGTTATCCAATGGAGAGGTTTTTGGGTTAGATCGAGATAAATATAAATTCGTTGTTAAACCCACCACCACCCAACAGCATCATCAGGCCACCACCTGACAGTATTATTTAGACTGTCGCCTGATAATGCTGGTTGTAATTACAGGCGAAACGTCGTAAATGTTGTGGGTTCACTCTCCAACACACCGGTGTGCTTAACTAGTAACGAATTGGCACGTTGTGTTTGCGTGACAAACATTTACTAATTGACTGTGTCTCAGGTTTGTGGCGGGTTTAACGACACGTTTAAAGTCACACGATCGAACCACGTAAACAAAAAACTTCGTATGCTCTCGCTTTTCCATCCTCTGTCACGTGCCAATGTTTTCCGCGTTTACCCCACCCTTCCTGACCGCCCCTCCGCCTCCTTGCTCGCGGCAGGACGTGGCTGACTTCCTGCTGGAGTTCCACTCGCCTGAGCTGCTGCTTGGCGTCATCAGGGCATCGTCTTCTCCACGAATCACCGTGAGAGCGTGCTTTGCCCGCTGCGCGTCGGCGCCCGGCCCGGTGCCGCACTTTTTTTGAGACTGCGTGTATGCGGTCATGGCAAAATCTGTTTAGGCTTTGATTGTTTTTTTTATTATTGAGGGGGGTTTTTGCCTCATTGGTCAACGGGCTGCTGAGAGGTAACGATTCAAATGCGAATTTAAAAAAAAACTGTTGATCCGGAATTGTGTGTTTTACTTTTATTCTTTTCAGGTCCCATGGTTGACAGTGCATTCTCATCTACCCTCAAATCTCTATGGCCTTTCTTTTTATGTGCTTTAAAGAAGAGCCATTGCCCAAAACATATCCTATTATATATTTTTCCCGTGTGTCTTTGAGAGTGAATCCCTGTTCTTGATGTGCATCTGTGTGTTCCACGTGTGTAGCGGTTAGCGCGCGTTGCATGCAACAACACGTGGTGCTGTACACGTGTTGCATGCAACAACACGTGATGCTGTACACGTGTTGTATACACCGCGGGGAGCGGTGGTGCAGCGGTTAGCGCTACGCTACGAACTCGGCAACCCGAGTTCGATTCCCGCTCCTGGACAACACCAGTGACGATTATCTGAACCGGTCCTGGGCCTCTCCGAGGTCGACTCAGCCTCAAATGAATACTTGGTGCAGTGTGTAAAAACATTGCCGCTGGGGAGACAAAGGCGACCGGGCGTGGCTCTGGCCACTCGCCCCCTCATGTGTCATGCCGGCCTTCATAGGTGCTCGCTAACATCACTTGCCCCAAACAGTTTTTTTTAAGGCTATACGGGTGATGTCTTTTTTGTGTGTGTTCCGCATGGTGCTCTCTGCACTAGGAAATGTGCGTGGGGATCTTGGGGAACATGGCTTGCTTCCCGGAGCCTTGCAACGCTCTGTCGCAGAACGGTGACCTAATGTGAGTATCGTACGCCACTACCTAGTCCCGATAGATGGAAAATATTCCTTAACTACTAACAGAGCGCTACCCTTAATCCCTTTTTCATGGGGCGGTGCCTTAATGAGGCGGAGACGCTTTAAGTGCCTTGTAGGCCTCAACTAAACGAAACTTTTTACTTGACCAGGTAATTCCCACTGAGCTGTGTAGCTCTTTTTCAGAAGTGACCTGGCCACAAATGACAGCTCACCGAAGTGGCTCATCGTGAAGTGGAAGTTTATAGCAGCCAAAGACTCTAAACGCGTGACGTTCATTCTAAATGTGGAAGGAAAAACCGGAGGACCCGAGAAAAATCCACGCCACCACGGGGAGACACGCAAACTGCAAATATACAGGCGTCAGGGTTGAGATCGAACCCATGACCTCCTACACACCAGGTTATGTAGTTAACATCTCGCCACCCCGGCGACCTGAGTAGCCGTGCTGGACCGGGACACCCACACAAGTCCGGTACTCAGCGAGAGGCGAGACGAAGTGTGATCCCTTCTCCAGCCACCATTGACCAATGTGCTGAAGTACGGTCAACCCCTCTCTCCGCCATGAACTCTCTTGTTTTACCATATTCTCTGAATATTTGAGCACTTTATTTCTGTTTAAAGCAACATTTGGTGGGAGTTAGGGGTGGAGGGTTACGTCTTATAATCTGGTTAATTGTGCACGTGTATGCGTGTATATAATTAGGCCTTCATAGGTGCTTGCTAATACCACTTGCCCCAACCGTCTGTTAAAGCTATACAGGGGATCTTTGTATAGATTGGGGAGCGGTGGCGCAATGGTTAGCGCGCTGCGCTACAAACCCGGTGACCCAAGGTCGATTCCTGCTCATGGCCAACACCCAGTGACGATTATCTGAACCAGTCCTGGTCCTCCCCTAGGTCGACTCATCCTCAAATGAGTACCCGGTGCGGTGTGTTAACATCGCCACTGGGGAGACAAAGGCGGCCCGGCGTAGTGCTGACCACCCACCCCCCCGTGTGCCATGCCGGCCTTCATAGGTGCTACTCGCTAACAGCACTTGCCCCAACAGTCTCTTAAGGCTATACAGGGTAACTTTGTCTTTTGTTTTTTTGGCACGAGAGAGACAAGATTTCTTTAATTCTATTGACACCGGCAAACAAGTTTGGGATGCGTCTCACTTTCCGGGGCGTCTTCACAATCTGGAGAATACAGTCGTCCGTGTTGGTTGTGTCCTTGAGAGCCGGCGTGTGGTGCTCAAGTGAGGCCTTGTGCGCAGGAAGGTGCTGTTGCTGCTCCTGGGAGACCCCGACCCTCCCACTCTCCTGGAGACCTCAAGGTGAGCCAGCAACAACAACCGCCGTTATTCCTCGCTACGTACGTGTTGTGTTGAACTTGGTTCGCACCGTACGTAGCCATCCACGCTAATCGGAGGTGCGCGGGGGGGCGGGGGGGAAGGACAACAAACTAAACGCAAAAAGCAGTTCTAAAGAAATGAATTTAAATCTGGATGATTTAAAAGTTGCGTAGCCTCCAGTGGCTTCCTCATATCTAAAGGAAGAGCGTTCCAGACGGCCGCAGAAGCACATCCGAAAGCGCCGCGCGATGCGGTTGCCACCGTCTTTGTTCGATGGTCCAGCCAAAAACCGCTGCTGCCACGAGGATGACCACTGGAGTTCGCATGATGATTCGTTTGTGCTCCTTGCTGAGATCAGCGAGGTATCGGTGGTTCATATGTGACAAGCGCTGTGTGTAATGAGCTGCGACCTTTGTGATAATGTAAGTGACGGTGACGTCACCACGGCGCTTGTGCCAGGGTAGGTGCACTCCGAGGCCACGTGAAGTTTACGCCTTGCGTGACTCTCCGTTTGGCATTGACAACGTATTTATTGCTGCTGCTGGTGGTGGTGGTGTTTGACCTGTGTAAGGTTGCTGCTCACTTGCCTGTCGCGGCCAGAGTCGTCGCGGCTGTGGCTGGAGGGAATCAAGAACACCCCCTCTGTGTGCCCGAACGTATGCTTCATCCTCAGCAGCTCGACGAACGGTGAGTGGCAAGATGTTAACTCACCTCGCCTGGTGTGCAGGAGGTCGTGGGTTCGATCCCGACCCTGACGATGCCTGCTTTATGTATTTGGAGTTTGTGTGTGTCTCTCTCTCTCTCCGTGGTCGCGTGAATTTTTGCTCCGGGTTCTCCGTTTTTTCCCCCTCCACATTAAGAATCGACGTGCGTTTCTAAATGCCGTGTACAGCTTTTAGAGCCGCAGGTCGTCGACCCCCCCCTCTCCGTGGCTAACGTGACGATTCCGCTTGATTTGATGACGTGTCGAAAACGATCAAAATCAAGTCCCGACAATAGTAATAATATCTCTCGGTTGAACTTAGAAGTAAGAAAAAGGTTGCACGTAGAAGAAGACCTGATGATGCAGGCAGTGAAGAGAAGGACATTGGCACTATTTGGACACATGTATGATGGACAACAACATCAACAACAGATAAATTAAAGTTTTTTTTTTGCTGCGGGAAAAATGGAAGGAATCGGAAAGAGAAGAAGACTTAACAGAGAATGGTTTGACGGCGACGAGATAAGAGATATGTGTCAGAAAGATGTGGCACACTGCTACTATAAGAGGAGAGTGCAACCAACAAATGACGAAATGTGCGGTGGACACACCTACTATGGGCTATCTGCCCATGGAGCGTGGTGATGATGATGATGGAAGAAAAAAACTTCCAACGCACGTGAATAACGTTACGAAGCAGTTTTTTTAGTTTCAGCCATCGCAAATGTGACTATTCTGCTTAATTTGATCACGTTTAAAAAAAAAACTATTCTTATCAAGCTACAACAATAATAATATCTCGCTTTGAAGTGATGTCACAATGCCGCGGGCATGCCTTTTGACCGCCTGACGAAGGTTTGCGAGGCTCGGATCAGTCGCGTACGACTTTCCCTCTCCGTCGGGATCTTCGCAGACGATCTTCTGCTCAAGCTGGGTGAGGTGGTGGACCGTCTCTTCGACTTGGATGAGGACCTCCTCCTCGCCTGGCTGTCGTCGGGGAGGTCGCCAGCGTCGCTTGACCCCTCCGGCGGGGCCCAGCCAGCGCAGCCCGGCGACGGTGAAACAACAGCGGACGCGGACGACGAGACGCGTGTCTCCCTCGTGCCGGCGCTCCTGGAGGCCACATCACAAGTCCGGTAACTCGAGATTGAAAATGTTTTTCTTTAGAACTGCTCTTTGTGTTTCGTTTGTTGTCCCTCCACCCCCCCCCCCGCACCTCCGATTAGCATGGTTGGCTACATACGGTGCGAAAGAAGTTCAGCATACATACACTACACTGCTGTATAGTACACTGCAATACACAATACTATTATACACAACACTACTCTACACCACACTACTATACAATACACCACACTACTATACAATACACCACTGTACTGAATTGAAAACTCATTTCTTTAGAACTGCTTTTGGTGTTTAGTTTGGTGTCCTCCACCACCCACCTTCGATTAGCGCGGTTGGCTACGTGCGGTGCGAAATAAGTTCAGCATACATACATACAACTCAGAGTCGCAACGATATCAGTTTTGATCGTACGGTACGATAATTAACTTCGCGATTTGACGGTGAGTGTGACATCACTTTCGCGGCGAATCTAGCCCAGGTGGCTCGGCAGTAGAAGGAGCGACTCGCGGTCGGAAAGTCGCGAGTTCCAATCCAGCGGGGGGATTGACAAAGGGCTCTCAAGTGAAACACAGCCACGTCTTGCAGTCCCGAGCTCATTGCAAGTAGTCGGAGCAAAAACACCATTGTACGTTGATGTCATGGGAAGTCTCAAGTCGCCGGTACGTCGGCACGGTGAAAACATATCCGTGTAAACATCACAATTTCGTCGGGTATTGGAACGTCAATCGCATTAATATCTATGGCACAAAGATACCGCCCGCATGCACCAAACCCAACAAGAAATTGTGGATCGCGCAGTACCGGCGACGGAAAAAAACCTACCTTCTAAGTCAGCACTGCTGTCACTGCGACGACGACGATGATGATGATGACGACGATGGTAACGACGATGACGACGACAATGATGACGACGACGATTGCCGTGTGCCGTGCCGCAGGCAACAGCGAGGGCCTGCGCTGGAGGTGTTTGCGCACATCTGGCAACAGATCAGCACCGTCGAGGAGGGCGTCCTAGCCATGAGTGAGTTCCGCAGGAGGCGCGCGGGGGGAGGGGGGGGGTGGTCTCCGTGAGTCACCGTCGGCTCTTCCTCGTTCGTTCCCCGTAGAGCTTCGAGCGTAACGTGCAAATCGGTTCTACCACGGCCGGAGTTTTTCGCGGTCGTGCCGTGTGACTCTCCAAGGTGTTTTCTGGCTGTGCCGCCCGGCGTGATGTAACCGCTCTGCGCCCCCAGACCTGGGGCGTCGCAGTGGCGAGATGCTCACAACCTCGCCTGGTACACAGAAGGTCATGGGCTCCATCCCAACCCTGACGCCTGTTATATAGTTTTGAGTTTGTATGTTCTCTCTCTCTCTCTCTTCCTGTGGCGCAGCATCGACCTTTCTCCGGGTCCTCGGGTCTTTCGCTCCGCATTTAGAATCGGCGTTTGTTACAATTTGGCTGCAATACATTTCCACGTGATAAGCCACTTGGTTGGGCTATCATTAGTGGCCAGGTCGCTTCCGAAAAACTGATATATACATCCCAGGGGACCTTAACTGGTGAAATAAAAAAGTCTAGTGTTTTTTGTGTAGGGTATGTATGTTGAACTTCTTTCACACCGTACGCAGCCAACCATGCTAATCGTAGGTGCGGGGGAAGGACAACAAACTAAACACAAAAAATAATTTCTTAAGAAATGCGTTTTCGATCTAGATGATGTAAAAGTGCATAGCTCCAGTGGCTTCCTAATATCGGCTGGAAGAGCTTTCCAGACGGCCGCAGAAGCGCATCTGAAAGCACCGCGCGATACGGTGACCATGTTTGTTCGACGGCCAGCCAAATAACCGCAGCCGCGAGGGCGACCGTTTTACTTATTGAGGAGGATGCGCCACGAGAGGGGGAGCTGTACGTCGCGGCGGTGAAAAACCTCTGGTGGGTGGGTTTCGGCCCATCGAGGCTGCGGCCCCGGCAAGGCTGCGGCCCCGGCGAGGCTGCGGCCCCAGTGACGCTGCGGCCCAGCGGGGCTGCGGCCCCGGCGGGGCTGCGGCCCCGGCGGGGCTGCGGCCCCGGCGAGGCTGAGGCCCCGGCGAGGCTGCGGCCCCGGCGAGGCTGCGGCCCCGGCGAGGCTGCGGCCCCGGCGAGGCTGAGGCCCCGGCGAGGCTGCGGCCCCGGCGAGGCTGCGGCCCCGGCGAGGCTGCGGCCCCGGCGAGGCTGCGGCCCCGGCGAGGCTGCGGCCCCGGCGAGGCTGCGGCCCCGGCGAGGCATCCGTCACTCAGTTGGTGAACAACGATCGCATTCGTCATGGGGACAAAGCTTTGGGCCATTGTACATCGCACGTGGGTTGTTCTCATTTCCCAACCGCCTCCTGCGCCCGGCAGCATCGCGCGCGGGCGAGGAGGTGCGGCGCCTCCTGCGTGCCGTGCTGTGCCGCGACCTCTGCCAGCCCGACGACCCGGCCGTCGTGCTGCTGGAGCAGACAACGGCGCTCGCGTCCGTGGCGGCGACGCTCTCCGCTCTGCTGCCGCCGTCGAGGCCGGTAGTCGAACCGGGCTGCCCGAGCTCCGAGGACGGTGAGAGGGAGCGTTGTCCCCCTTCCCTTTCCCCCCCCTCACCCTGCCGCGTCTGGAGAAATTTCAAAAAGTAAAACCAAGCCTGTAAGATTCCCGTCGTAGGTTTCGGAATCGATGGCCGCTTATATACGTTGTATCGTTTCAAGCCGAACGTTCATTGTAGGAAATTTACTGTGCGCCGGGCAAATGCGGAAAAAGAAAATTTACTATGAGCATAAACACAAAACATAAACAAGCTAAAGAACTATCACAAACCACGCAAAAAAAATGGGGACTAAAAAAAATAATTCGTTATTAAATCGCGATTGAATCGCCGGAGGGCGGTGGACCGTCGGGACGCCTCACCGATCCACCCCGGTGACGTGATGTTGCCACGTGGACGCTTCACCGCGCTGCCTTCCAGACCTGGAACTCCTGGGCAGCACCCTGAGAATCGTGGGCTACCTCCAGGAGTGTACCAAGCGGCCGTGCGACGAGGCGGAGGACGGCTCGGGTTGTACCAAGTCTGGCCACTCGGAGGACACAGGGGCTGAGCTGCAGCTACTCGAGGAGATACTGGCGCAGCTCCTCGCCATAGTGTTGTCGAACGTAACCCAGGTTAGTTTAACGCGTAGGCTTTCGCGACCAATAGCATCCATAATACAGGGTTTTTTTTTCGTTAGATCTCGTAAATATATCAGTGGTGTATGTATGTTGAACTTATTTCGCACCGTACGTAGCCAACTGTGCTAATTGGAGGTGTGGGGGGAAGGACAACAAACTGTGGGTCTCTGTGTGAGTCTATGGGTCTCTGTGTGAGTCTATGGGTCTCTGTATGATTATATGGGTCTCTGAGTCTATGGGTCTCTGTGTGAGTCTATGGGTCAATGTGTGAATCTGTGGGTCTCTGTGTGAGTCTATGGGTCTCTGTGTGAGTCTATGGCTCTCTGTGTGAGTCTATGGCTCTCTGTGTGAGTCTATGGCTCTCTGTGTGAGTCTATGGCTCTCTGTGTGAGTCTATGGCTCTCTGTGTGAGTCTATGGGTCTCTGTGTGAGTCTATGAGTCTCTGTGTGAGTCTATGAGACTCTATGATTCTATGGGTCTCTGTATGATTCTATGGGTCTCTGTGTGAGTCTATGGGTCTCTGTATGATTATATGGGTCTCTGTGAGTCTATTGGTCTCTGTGTGAGTCTATGGGTCTCTCTGTGAGTCTATGGGTCTCTGTGTGAGCCTGTGGGTCTCTGTGTGAACCTATGGGTCTCTGTGCGTGTCTATGGGTCTCTGTGCGAGTCTGTGTATGTTTGTGGACAACAAACTGCTGCTAACTCCCCTCAAGTTAACACAAAGCAATGGCGTGCGCTTCCAGAGTGACTTGGAGGAAGCGTTCCGCCAGAAGGTGCTCATTCCGGATCGTCTCCCGGCCGCCGTGCGGATCCTCGTGCCCTCCTACCCGTCTGTGGCAAGTACCTAACGCCGTGGCACGCACACACACACACACCAAATAATTACACTTAAATTGACGTCAATGCATTTGTTGCAGCCATTCTGAATCGGCCTCTTCTACGCTGTGTTGGTCATGAGAGTTTTATTAATCTTTTTACGACCATACTTCACCGCGCCTGGTCGGTGCGGGTTGGTGGAGAGCAGAGCAGAAACAGGTTAAGGCATCACTCGCCACTGACGTCAGCCATGGCTGGTAATCGAACTCAGGTCTCCAGAGAGGCTCCCGTGTCTCTCTATACCCGTGTCTCTTTCTCTCCGTGTCTCTTTCCCTGTGTCTCTCTCCCCGTGTCTCTCTCTCCCCACGTCTCTCACGTTCTCCCCATGTCTCTCTCTGTGTCGCTTTCTCCGTATGTCTCTCTCCCCCGTGTCTCTCACTTTCTCCCCATGTCTCTCCCCATGTCTTTCCCCGTGTATCTCTCTCCCCCGTGTCTCTATCACCAGATCCGTGCACCTTCAAACGTGCTGTGTTAACTGTTTAGTTTGTTGTCCTTCCCCCGCACCTCTGATGAGCAAGCTTGGCTACGTCCAGTGCGAAAGGAGTTAAAAGTTCATACACCACCCCTTTACCCCCACGTAAAGATTATGGAAAAAAATCAATCGCTATGCTAGTTCTTGCCTCGACCTCACCTTGTCATCGTTGTGGATTGCAGGTGCAGCACTTGGTGGACCTTCTTGAAAAGCAACATCTGCCCGTGGCTGAGACTTTGAGGGCCCTGTTACAGGACCCCGCAGAGTAGCCCTGCCTCAAGCCAGCAAGGCATCAGCCCGGCTAGGCTTGGGCCCGGCGAGGCTTCGGCCCGGCGGGTCTTCGGCCCGGCGGGTCTTCGGCCCGGCGCTGCGGTGTTATCTGGTGGAGAGATGCTGCAGCCACGGATGCGCGGGATGCGACTTGAGCCTCGTTCGGGGGGGGGTTTCCAAACCCGCGTCCATCAGCGCGCTTAAATCAAGTTGGGCCGCGTGCCCCCCTCTATCCCGTCGGCTCCGCGGCGTCTCCACCAGGCCACGCTGCCGAGTGGTCAGTGACTCTTTCAACGACTCAACTTAACACGTAGTAGGGCTTTCGCGACCAATGTCATCCATAATATAGGTTTTTTTTGGGTTAGATCGCGTAAACGTATAAATGTGTCGTTAAAGCCACCGCCACCCGAAACAGCCGATTAGTAAGGTTTGTGACGTGAACAGAACATGCCAATTCGTTACGAGTACGGCACCAGCGGTGTGTTGGAGAGCAAAGCCACAGCATTTACGATCTGAGTACTTTAAATTTACAATTTGAGTGTGGTAAATGTTGTGGCTTTGCTCTCCAACACACAAACGGTGTGCTGTGCTCGTAACGAATTGGCACGTTCTGTTTTACGTAACAAACCTTACTAGTTGGCTGTGACGGGTTTAACGACACGTTTTATATATTAGGCGATCTCGCTCTCTCGACGTTCGCGCCGTTGTTCTTAGAGCCTGCCCTCAATCCCCCCCCCCTGACTCCTCCGCCCTCCCCCCCCCAATGCCCCCCCGTTTTTCCCTTCCCCCGCCCCCCGGTGTGATGTCATTAAACCTCCTGAGCCGTATTACCGTGGCGCTGCCGCCCCCCTTCCCCCCTGCTGTGGGTTTGGCTCCCGTCTCTTGTAAAGAATATTAAACATTATTTTTTTATTATACCAGATAAGGCCCCACTGGGCCACGCCGCTCTTTTTCAGAAGCGGCCTGGCCATCGCTGATGAAAGCTCGGCGAAGTGGCTTGTCGCCGCGTGGAAAACGTACGGCAGCCGAATAACCTAAACGCTGTGACGTTTGATTCCAAACGGGGAGGGGGGAAAACCCCGGAGGGAAAACCCCCTGAGGCCATGGTGGGAATTCCACATTGCTGTGTCGAGGAGGGGAGCGAATCCACGGAACGGCTGACCGTACCTGCCGCGGGACAGCTGTCAGTTTACTCAAAGCTATCGGATCAGGGTTTAGTGATGCCTAAGGACCCAAAAGGCTGTGTGGAAGGCAAGGTGACCTTCTTTAAACGATCGTGCTGAGCCGGGCTTGACCTCCTTCCGTGTCCTGCGTGCCCCCGTGTTGTCAGCGATAACGAAATAAAATATTTTTTCCAGAATTGTCGCGCACGGAGTGGCTTTTGGGTGGCGTCCCGCTTGCATGTTGTGCACCTCTTGTCTGGGCGATCCAGAAAAAAACTTAATTTCTTTATCCCCTCGTCTATTTAAGACCGAAACAGGAGGAGGATGTCCTCAAAACTTCTGTGGCTGTCGCCCGATGATGCTGATTGTTGTAACTACCGGCGAAACGTCACGGTACAATAATTTTTTTGTTGTTTTATATATTTTTTATTATTTTATTGTTTCCCTTCAACGTCACTTTACCGAAAGAGCTAAGAATATGAGGTACAAGAATTGTAAATGTTGTAGGTTTACGATCCAACACAAGCGGTGTGCTGTACTAGTAACGAATTGGCACGCTTTTTGTTTTACGTGACAAACATTACCAATTGGCTGTGTCGGGTGGTGGCGGGTGCATACTTGCGCGATCCAACCCAAGAACCTCTACTATGGATCATTAATATTCTTGGTTCTTTCGGTAAAGTCACGTAGAAGGGAAATAATAACAATTAAATTCTCACGACGTTTCGATTGCAACACAAGCAATCATCATCAGGTGTGAAAACCACAGCAAGAAAATTTTGAAAAAAGTGGCTTTTTTTTTCTAAAATCGAAATCTGGATAATTTCTTTAGAACGTGCTTTTTATCTTTTAGTTTGTTGTCCTTCCCCATCTCCCACGACCCCGACGCACCTCCGATGAGCACGGTTGGCCTACGTACTGTGCGAAAGAAGTTCAACCCACACGTACGTTGTATCTGCCACGCTATTCAATGAGCTGGCACCGTTTCGACTGCCACCTCAACCCCCCCCCCTATTGCCCAACTGCTGCATTGTTGTTGGGTGGTTCAGATCGCGTCAATATGAATGTGCGCCGTTAAACCCCGCCGCCACCCGACAAGCAGCCAGCGGGTAAAATGCTTTGTCGCGTGAACACAAAAGGCCGCGGACCGGTATCGGGTCCGTGGCCCGGGGGTTGGGGACCCCTGGTTTATGGGACGACAGCTACGGTACTCGGCTGCCTTTCCGATAAGTACAGTTGGCTACGTACGGTGCGAAAGGAAGGGACCCACAGACGCACACAGAGACCCTAGACGCACACGGAGACCCATAGACTCACACAGATACCCATAGACTCACACAGAGACCCATAGACTCACACAGACACCTAGATATTCAAACAGGAGACCCATAGACTCGCACAGAGACCCATAGACTCACATAGAAACCCATAGACTCACACAGATACTCATAAACTCACACAGAGACCCATAGACTCACACAGAGACCCATAGACTCACACAGAGACCCATAGACTCACAGAGACCCATAGACTCACACAGGGACCCATAGACTTATAAAGACTGATAGACTCACACAGAGACCCACAGACTCACACATAGACCCATGGTTTGTTGTCCTTTCAACACACATACTCAACACACACACATACTCAACACACACACACTCAACACATACACACATACTTAACACACACACACATACTCAACACACACATACTTAACATACACGCATACTCAACACACATACTCAACACACACACTCAATACACACACATACTCAACACACATACTCAACACGCCCACATACTCAACACACACATACATTGAGGGACAAAGGTATTTGATCCCCTGCTGATTTTGTACGTTTGCCCACTGACAAAGAAATGATCAGTCCATAATTTTTATGGTAGGTTTATTTGAACAGTGAGAGACAGAATAACAACAAAAATCCAGAAAAACGCATGTCAAAAATTTTATGAATTGATTTGCATTTTAATGAGGGAAATAAGTCTTTGACCCCTCTGCAAAACATGATTTAGTACTTGGTGGCAAAACCCTTGTTGGCAATCACAGAGGTCAGACGTTTCTTGTAGTTGGCCACCAGGTTTGCACACATCTCAGGAGGGATTTTGTCCCACTCCTCTTTGCAGATCTTCTCCAAGTCATTAAGGTTTCGAGGCTGACGTTTGGCAACTCGAACCTTCAGCTCCCTCCACAGATTTTCTATGGGATTAAGGTCTGGAGACTGGCTAGGCCACTCCAGGACCTTAATGTGCTTGTTCTTGAGCCACTCCTTTGTTGCCTTGGCCGTGTGTTTTGGGTCATTGTCATGCTGGGATACCCATCCACGACCGATTTCAATGCCCTGGCTGAGGGAAGGAGGTTCTCACCCAAGATTTGACGGTACATGGCCCCGTCCATCGTCCCTTTGATGTGGTGAAGTTGTCCTGTCCACTTAGCAGAAAAATGCCCCCAAAGCATAATGTTTCCACCTCCATGTTTGACGGTGGGGATGGTGTTCTTGGGGTCATAGGCAGCATTTTTTCTCCAAACACGGCGAGTTGAGTTGATGCCAAAGAGCTCCATTTTGGTCTCATCTGACCACAACACTTTCACCCAGTTGTCCTCTGAATCATTCAGATGTTCATTGGCAAACTTCAGACGGGCATGTATATGTGCTTTCTTGAGCAGGGGGACCTTGCGGGCGCTGCAGGATTTCAGTCCACGGCGTAGTGTTACCAATTGTTTTCTTGGTGACTATGGTCCCAGCTGTCTTGAGATCATTGACAAGATCCTCCCGTGTAGTTCTGGGCTGATTCCTCATCTTTCTCATGATCATTGCAACTCCACGAGGTGAGATCTTGCATGGAGCCCCAGGCTGAGGGAGATTGACAGTTCTTTTGTGTTTCTTACATTTGCGAATAATCGCACCAACTGTTGTCACCTTCTCACCAAGCTGCTTGGCAATGGTCTTGTAGCCCATTCCAGCTCTGTGTAGGTCTACAATCTTGTCCCTGACATCTTTGGAGAGCTCTTTGGTCTTGGCCATGGTGGAGAGTTTGGAATCTGATTGATTGATTGCTTCTGTGGACAGGTGTCTTCTCACCAAGCTGCTTGGCAATGGTCTTGTAGCCCATTCCAGCTCTGTGTAGGTCTACAATCTTGTCCCTGACATCCTTGGAGAGCTCTTTGGTCTTGGCCATGGTGGAGAGTTTGGAATCTGATTGATTGATTGCTTCTGTGGACAGGTGTCTTTTATACAGGTAACAAGCTGAGATTAGGAGCACTACCTTTAAGAGTGTGCTCCTAATCTCAGCTCGTTACCTGTATAAAAGACACCTGGGAGCCAGAAATCTTTCTGATTGAGAGGGGGTCAAATACTTATTTCCCTCATTAAAATGCAAATCAATTTATAACATTTTTGACATGCGTTTTTCTGTTTTTTGTTATTGTTATTCTGTCTCTCACTGTTCAAATAAACCTCCCATTAAAATTATAGACTGATCATTTCCTTGTCAGTGGGCAAACGTACAAAATCAGCAAGGGATCAAATACTTTTTTCCCTCACTGTATACTCAACACACACACATACTCAACACACATACTCATACTCAACACACACACTCAACACATACACACACTCAACACACATACTCATACTCAACACACACACTCATACTCAACACACACACAGACATACTCAACACACATACTCATATTCAACACACACATACTCAACACACATACTCAACACACACACATACTCAACACACACATAGTCAACACACACACATACTCAACACACACACATACTCAACACAAAGATCCCCCATATAGCCTTAACAGACTGTAGGGGCAAGTGCTGTTAGCGAGCACCTATGAAGGCCGGAACGGTTACTCGAGGGGGTGGGTGGCCAGCACCACGCCCGACCGCCTTTGTCTCCCTAGTGGCAATGTTTACACACCGCACCAGGTACTCATTTGAGGCTGAGTCCACCTAGGGGAGGCCCGGGACCGGTTCAGATAATCGTCACTGGTGTTGGCCGTGAGCCAACACCAGTGACACACACACACACATACTCAACACACACACATACTCAACACACACAGACACATACTCAACACACACACACATACTAATCAGGAGGACGGATCCTAGCGGAAAACCCGGACAAGGTGGCAACCCAATCGGCAAGAAATTTGTCTTTAGCCCCCCACCCCCACCAACTAAAAATCACTTTCAACCGAGAGGCGGTAAGCAATTGATGTAATTTTAATGGTGAAAAGCATGGGCAGAGTGTCCGTGGGTGGGGGGGGGGGGGGGGGGATACATCCCAGACCCACCCCCGGCAAACTGAACACCACGCTGGAGTTGGTCGATGCCACCCAAGTGGCTGGAGTTGGTCGATGCCACCCACGTGGCTGGAGCTGATCGACGCCACCCACGTGGCTGGAGCTGATCGATGCCACCCACGTGGCTGGAGCTGATCGATGCCACCCACGTGGCTGGAGCTGATCGATGCCACCCACGTGGCTGGAGCTGATCGATGCCACCCACGTGGCTGGTGCTGGTCGATGCCACCCACGTGGCTGGAGCTGGTCGATGCCACCCACGTGGCTGGGGCTGGTCGATGCCACCCACGTGGCTGGAGCTGGTCGATGCCACCCACGTGGCTGGAGCTGGTCGATGCCACCCAAGTGGCTGGAGCTGGTCGATGCCACCCACGTGGCTGGGGCTGGTCGATGCCACCCACGTGGCTGGAGCTGGTCGATGCCACCCACGTGGCTGGAGCTGGTCGATGCCACCCAAGTGACTGGAGTTGGTCGATGCCACCCACGTGGCTGGAGCTGATCGATGCCACCCACGTGGCTGGTGCTGGTCGATGCCACCCACGTGGCTGGAGCTGGTCGATGCCACCCACGTGGCTGGAGCTGGTCGATGCCACCCACGTGGCTGGGGCTGGTCGATGAAACCCTCCAAACAAAGACAAAGATCCCCCGTGTAGCCTTAACAGACTGCACCCCCCCCTACCCCCCCCCCCCCCATCACACGCTGTGCCGGCGTCCGTGGCGCACCATGGCCACGATGTGCGAGAGGTCGAGGCTGTTGGTGAGGAGGTCCGTGAACTCGGCGTCCTTGTTGGCTCCTTCCAGGAACTCGTCTATCGTGAGCTCGCCTGTCCAGGAACGTGGGGGGGAGGCGGGTGGTGGGGGGTGGGGGCGGGGGTGGGGGGAGGGGTAGGGGTGGGGGAAACAAACAGGGTTAAAGGTTTGTTCTATTTGCTTTATGCGGTACTGTGGTAGTAGTGGTGGTAGTAGTGGTGGTGGTAGTTGTAGTGGTAGTAGTAGTGGTGGTGGTAGTGGTAGCAGTGGTGGTAGTAGTAGTGGTAGTAGTGGTGGTGGTAGTAGTAGTGGTAGTAATTGTGCTAGTAGTAGTGGTGGTAGTAGTGGTAGTTGTAGTGGTGGTGGTAGTGGTCGTGGTGGTAGTAGTAGTGGTAGTAGTTGTTGTGGTGGTCATAGTAGTGGTAGCAGTGGGGCTAGTAGTGGTAGTAGTAGTGGTAGTAGTGGTGGTGGTAGTAGTAGTGGTAGTAATTGTGCTAGTAGTCGTGGTAGTAGTAGTGGTGGTGGTAGTAGTAGTGGTGGTGGTAGTAGTGGTGGTAGTAGTAGTGGTAGTAGTAGTTGTGGTGGTCGTAGTAATGGTAGCAGTGGGGCTAGTAGTGGTAATAGTAGTGGTAGTAGTGGTGGTGGTAGTAGTAGTTGTGCTAGTAGTCGTGGTAGTAGTAGTGGTGGTGGTAGTAGTGGTGGTGGTGGTAGTAGTAGTAGTGGTGGTAGTAGTTGTGGTAGTAGTCGTGGTAGTAGAAGTAGTGGTAGTAGTGGTGGTGTGAGTAGTAGTAGTAGTGGTGGTGGTGGTAGTAGTGTATAATAGCAATAGCTGTCAACCCACACAGTTTACCCCGTATTCTTGTAGAGGGAAACTGAGTTTTCAGTTTCAGACGGCGTACAGCCGTTTCAATACGGGCACAATGTGTTGTGTCTATTCGTGTTTCTCCCTTGTGATGGGGTCTTTGTAGGATGAACGTTGAGATTTATAAGGGGCATGGGGTGACCAATATGGCACGTGACGTTAGTGCTGCACTTGGCGTTAGTTTGTCACGTGGGTCGTGGCGATTGTGTGACACGTGGTGTTAGTATGACACGTGGGTCGTGACGTTTGTGTGACACGTGGTGTTAATGCGACACGTGGGTCGTGGCGTTTGTGTGACACGTGTTGTTAGTATGACACGTGGGTCTTGGCGTTTGTGTGACACGTGGTGTTAGTATGACACGTGGGTCGTGACGCTTGTGTGACACGTGGTGTTAATGCGACACGTGGGTCTTGGCGTTTGTGTGACACGTGGTGTTAGTATGACACGTGGGTCTTGGCGTTTGTGTGACACGTGTTGTTAGTATGACACGTGGGTCGTGACGCTTGTGTGACACGTGGTGTTAGTATGACACGTGGGTCGTGACGTTTGTGTGACACGTGGTGTTAATGCGACACGTGGGTCTTGGCGTTTGTGTGACACGTGGTGTTAGTATAACACGTGGGTCGTGACGTTTGTGTGACACGTGGTATTAATGCGACACGTGGGTCGTGGCGTTTGTGTGACACGTGGTGTTAGTATGACACGTGGGTCTTGGCGTTTGTGTGACACGTGTTGTTAGTATGACACGTGGATCATGGCGTTTGTGTGACACGTGGTATTAGTATGACACGTGGGTCGTGACGCTTGTGTGACACGTGGTGTTAATGCGACACGTGGATCGTGACGTTGGTGCTGCACGTGGTGTTAGCATGACACGTGGGTCGTGACGTTTGTGTGACACGTGGTGTTAATGCGACACGTGGGTCTTGGCGTTTGTGTGACACGTGGTGTTAGTATGACACGCGGGTCGTGACGCTTGTGTGGCACGTGGTGTTAATGCGACACGTGGGTCGTGACGCTGGTGCTACACGTGGCACATGGCGCTGGTGCTGCACGTGGGTCGTCAGTGCGCTCACCGTCCCTGTCCACGTCGATGCGGTCGAACACGATGGAGGTGAACTCCTCGGGCGTCGTTTCGTGAGCGCAGCCGTCAATGCCGCGGATGGCCTGCGGGCCCGGGACACGCCCTCGCCGTCACCACCCCCGCCCTCACATTCAGCCCCTCGTCTACCCTTACATCTCTGTCTCTCCTTCAATCGACACGCCTCTTGTTTACATCTCACCACGTGGGAGGGAGCGGGCTAGGGGCATGGGGGGGGGGCATGGGGTGTGGGAATGGGGGGGGGGGGGGCATGGGGGCGTGTAAGGGCATTGGGGGGCTGGGGGCGTGGGGGGCAGGGGGGGTAGCTGGTGACGTGGGCGGGGGAGGGGGGGTAGTCTCGTCATTCCCAGATCGCATCACCCATACCAGTAGTTCTCAACACTGTTTGGCTGCTGGTGTTACCCGTATCCCGCCCCCCCCCCCCCCCCGATATAATTTCACGCATTGATAAAATAACCTCATCACGTTACCCCCTGCGACATTGCCACAACGCCCAGGGGTCCGCATACCCCCGGTTACGAACCACTGGTGTAGTGTATAGTGTAGTGTAAAGTGTATTGTATAGTAGTAGAGTGTATAGTAGTGTATAGTGTAGCGTATAGTATAGTGGAAAGTAGTCTATAGTGTAGTGTATAGTAGTGTATAGGTAGTGTAGTGTATAATGTAGTGTATAGTATAGTGTATCGTAGTCTATATTAGTGTTTCGTAGTGTAGTGTATAGTCGTGTAATGTTTAGTGTAGTGTATAGTGTATAGTAGTGTGTTGTATAGTGTAGTGTATAGTAATGTAGTGTAAAGTATAGTAGTGTATAGTGTAGTGTATAGCGTAGTAGTGGATATGTAGTGTATCGTAGTGTAGTGTATAATGTAGTGTATAGTAAAGTAGTCTATATTAGTGTATAGTAGTGTAATGTATAGTGTAGTGTATAGTAGTGTAGTGTAAAGTATAGTAGTGTATAGCGTAGTGTATGGTAGGGTAGTGTATAGTAGTGTATAGCGTAGTGTATAGCGTAGTGTATAGTATAGTGTTTCGTAGTCTATAGTAGTGTATAGTAGTGTCATGTATAGTGTAGTGTATAGTAGTGTAGTGTAAAGTATAGTAGTGTATAGCGTAGTGTATAATGTAGTGTATAGTAGTGTATAGTGTAGTGTATAGTATAGTGTACAGTAGCCTATAGTAGTTGATTGTATAGTGTAGTGTATAGTAGTGTAGTGTAATGCATAGTCGTGTATAGTGTAGTGTATAATATAGTGTATAGTGTAGTGTATAGTGTAGTGTATAATGTAGTGTGTAGTGTATAGTAGTGTAATGCATAGCAGTGTATAGCGTGGTGTATAATGTAGTGTATAGTATAGTGTATATTAGTGTAATGTATAGTAGTGTATAGTGTAGTGTATATTATAGTGTAGTGTATAGTGTAGTGTATAATATAGTGTAGTGTATAGTGTAGTGTATAGTTTAGTGTATAGTGTAGTGTATATTAGTGCATATTGTAGTGTATAGTGTAGTGTATAGTAGTGTATAATAGAGTGTATAGTGTAGTGTGTAATATAGTGTAGTGTATAGTGTAGTGTATAATATAGTGTATAGTGTAGTGTATAATATAGTGTAGTGTATAGTGTAGTGTATAATATAGTGTAGTGTATAGTGTAGTGTATAGTAATGTATAGTGTAGTGTATAGTGTAGTGTATAGTAGGGTATAATATAGTGTATAGTGTAGTGTATAATATAGTGTAGTGTATAGTTTAGTGTATAGTGTAGTGTATAGTGTAATGTATAGTGTAGTGTATAGTATTGTATAACATAGTGTATAGTGTAGTGTATAATATAGTGTAGTGTATAGTGTAGTGTATAATATTGTGTAGTGTATAGTGTAGTGTATAGTAGTGTATAGTGTAGTGTATAGTAGTGTATAGTGTAGTGTATAGTGTAGTGTATAGTATTGTATAATATAGTGTATAGTGTAGTGTATAATATAGTGTAGTGTATAGTGTAGTGTATAATATTATGTAGTGTATAGTGTAGTAAGTACGTACCAACTCTCGCGCGCGAGATAATTTCACACATTTATAAATCAACTCATCACGGTACCCCCCCCCCCCCCCCCCTTGGGGTAACATTTCCACCTACCCCCACCCCCCCGGGCTCCACGTACCCCCCTCACCCCCCTGCGTGTGAGCGCTGACCTTGATGATGTTGAGAAGCTCCCCCTTGTCGATGCACCCGTTGCCATCCGAGTCGTACATCTTGAAGTACCAGCGCAGCTTCTGCTCGACCTTGCCTCGCAGTACGAGGCTCAGCGCCGCCACGTACTCCATGAAGTCGATGTAGCCGTCCTGCGCGTGTGGTACGTGCGTGTGGTACGCGCGTGTGAACGTGTGGTACGCGTGTGTGTGTGTGAACGTGTGGTACGTGCGTGTGTGTGTGTGAACGTGTGGTACGCGTGTGTGTGAACATGTGGTACGTGCATGTGGTACGTGTGTGTGTGTGTGGTACGTTTGTGTGTGAGTGAGTGCACGTGTGGTACGTGTGTGTGTGAACATGTGGTACGTGTGTGTGTGTGAACGTGTGGTACGTGTGTGTGTGTGTGAACATGTGGTACGCGTGTGTGTGTGAACGTGTGGTACGTGCATGTGGTACGTGTGTGTGTGTGAACGTGTGGTACGCGTGTGTGTGTGTGAACATGTGGTACGCGTGTGTGTGTGTGTGAACGTGTGGTACGTGCGTGTGTGTGTGTGAACGTGTGGTACGTGCGTGTGGTACGTGTGTGTGTGTGTGAACGTGTGGTACGTGCGTGTGTGTGTGTGTGAACGTGTGGTACGTGTGTGTGTGTGTGAACATGTGGTACGCGTGTGTGTGAACATGTGGTACGTGCATGTGGTACGCGTGTGTGTGAACGTGTGATACGTGCGTGTGTGTGTGAACATGTGGTACGTGTGTGTGTGTGTGAACATGTGGTATGCGTGTGTGAACATGTGGTACGCGTGTGTGTGTGTGAACGTGTGGTACGCGTGTGTGGTACGCGTGTGTGTGTGTGTGAACGTGTGTGTGAGTGAACGTGTGGTACGTGTGTGTGTGTGAGTCAACGTGTGGTACGCGCGTGTGGTACGCGTGTGTGTGTGTGTGTGAACGTGTGTGTGAGTGAACGTGTGGTACGTGTATGTGTGTGTGAGTCAACGTGTGGTACGCGCGTGTGGTACGCGTGTGTGTGTGAACGTGTGGTACGTGTGTGTGTGAGTGCACGTGTGGTACGTGTGTGTGTGTGGACATGTGGTACGCGTGTGTGTGTGTGTGTGTGAACGTGTGGTACGTGCATGTGGAACGTGTGTGTGTGTGCACGTGTGGTACGTGCGTGTGTATGGTACGTGCATGTAGTATGTGCATGTGTTTTGTACGTGCGTGTGGTACGTGTGTGCGCGTGCGTGTGTATAGTACGTGTGTATGGTACGTGTGTGTTTGCGTGTGTGTGTACGGGTGTATGGTACGTGTGTATGGTACGTGTGTGTGTGTACGGGTGTATGGTACGTGTGTATGGTATGTGTGTGCGTTTGGTACGTGTGTGTGTGTACGTGCGTATGATGTGTGTGTGTGCGTGCGTATGGTACGTGCGTGTGTGTGTACGTGCGTGTGGTACGTGTGTGTGTGTACGGGTGTATGGTACGTGTGTGTGTGTGTGCGTGCGGCATAGGGGTCGGGGAGCGGTGGCACAGCGGTTAGCGCTATGCCGCGCTACGAACTCGGCGACCCGAGTTCGATTCCCGCTCGCGGCCAACACCGGTGACGATTATCTGAACCGGTCCGGGGTCTCCCCTAGGTCGACTGAGCCTCAAATGAGTACCTGGTGCGGTGCGTTAAAACTTTACCACTAGGGAGACAAAGGCGGCCGGCCGTGTTGGTGGCCACCCACCCATAAGTATGTGTGCTGTGTCGGCCTTCATATGTACTCGCTACCTGCACCTGATCTTTCTCTGTGTGCGACTGTGTGTCTCTGTTTCTCTGCGTTAGTCCGTGTGGGTAAACTACATTATCACATTCCTGCGGAGGGAGCTGGTAGGAACGTTGGGTTGCTCGGTCAATGGCCAGGGTCAACGGCGGCACCACCACGTGGTGTATTCCGCAAATATGCCCGACTGTGAGGGCGGGCACAAGCCGGCGTGAGTAGGTTAAACGTTGATGTAGTAGCTACACCACTGATAATGTAGTAGCTACATTATCAGTGGTGTAGTAACTACATTATCAGTGGCGTAGTGACTACATTATCAGTGGTGTAGTCTACATTATCAGTGGTGTAGTAACTACATTATCAGTGGTATAGTATCTACATTATCAGTGATGTAGTGACTATATTATTAGTGGCGTAGTAACTACATTATCAGTGGTGTAGTGACTACATTATCAGTGGTGTAGTGACTACATTATCACTGGTGTAACTATATTATCAGTGGTGTAGTGACTACATTATCAGTGACGTAGTAACTACATTATCAGAGGTGTAGTATCTACATTATCAGTGGTGTAGTAACTACATGATCAGTGACGTAGTAACTAAATTATCAGTGGTGTAGTAACTACATTATCGGTGACGTAGTGACTACATTATCAATGACGTAGTGACGACATTATCTTGTAGAGGCTCCAATATTTGGTTCGTATCTCGCACGGTCATCCAACATTACCGCTCAAATTAAAATAAAATAAAATGTGGAACGTCAATGAATTTGTTTTTATTTAAAAATTTTAAAAAACTCTTTTACGTTATTTAAACGGCGTTTTAAGAAATGTATTCTTTTTACGCTGTAGATGATTTTGCTGCTATAAAGTGTCCGAATGATGGGGCCACTTTGTTGAGCGGCAATCATTTGCGTGATGACCAGGTCGCTTCTGACAAACAAGTTAATAGCCTCAGTGGGGCTTTGCCTGGTTAGAGGATGGGGGGATTGTTTCGTGTTGTCTGTGTCTGGGTGAATTTTGGTTATCCGTCTCGTGCTTTGCACTCCTATCGTGTGTTTTGTGTAATTGTGGTCGTCGTAACGTTCTTACCCCGTGCCCCTTACCTGGACATCTGTGAAAAAAAGAGCTTTATAGCTCATCGGATTTCTCCTGCAGTTTAAATGAATATTCTGATTAATGATATCTCACGGTGGTTGTCAAGGTCCCCCCCCCCTCCCCTTCCAACTCGTAGCTTTGGCCACCAGGGAGGGGAGGGGTGGGGGGGGAAAGGCACCCCCCTCCCACTTGCCTGCCCCCCACGATCGCCACGCGACCGGTCACCACATTGCGAACGGCGAGACCCCCTCCCCTCCACCTGATCCCCCACCAGCCCCCCCTCCACCACCCCTCCACCCCCACTCCACCCACCCTCCACCACCCATCGCCCCCCTCCATCCACCCTCCACCCCCCTCCACTCACCCTCCACCCCCCCCCATCGCCCCCCTCCACCACCCCCCTCCACTTCCCCCCCTCCACGACCCCCCCTCCACCCCCAGCCACCCCCCCCATCACCCCCTCCACCACCCCCCCCTCCACCCCCCTCCACCCCCCCATCGCCCCGCTCCATCACCCCCCTTCCACCTCCCTCCACCCCCTCATCACCCCCCTCCACCACCCCCCCGCTCCACCCCCCCATCCCCCCCTCCACCCACCCACCACCAACCCACCCACCCCAGGGCACCGACGTCCCCCGACTCACCCCCCCCCGCCATCCCGTACCTTGTTCATGTCGAAGGTCCTGAACATCTGTTCGATGTAAGCGTTGCCCTCCGCCGTGACGCTGCTGATGCCGAAGAACTGCTTGAACTCGTGCAGGGTCAGCTGACCCGAGGGGCACTCGCGCATGAACTTCTTGTACCACAGGTGGATCTCCACCGCGTGGAGGTCTTCCACCACAGAGCCGTTTTCATTGCCCATTGAGCTGCCCTCGGTGGTGCTGATGCTGCTGGTTGTGGTGGTGGTGGTGGTGGTTGTGGTTGTTGTGGTGGTGGTGCTTGTGGTGGTGGTGCTTGTGGTGGTGGTGGTGGTGTTTGTAGGTGATGGTGGTGATGATGGTCTTAATGCTGGTGGTGGTGGTTGTGGTGGTGCTGGTGGTGCTGCTGCTGGTGCTGGTGGTGGTGCTGCTGGTGGTGGTGCTGCTGGTTGTGGTGCTGGTTGTGGTGCTTGTGGTAGTGGTGGTGGTGCTTGTGGTGGTGCTTGTGGTGGTCTAGACGCTGCTGGTGCTGGTGGTGCTGCTGGTTGTGCTGCTGGTTGTGGTGCTAGTGGTGGTGTTTGTAGGTGATGGTGGTGGTGATGATGGTCTTAATGCTGATGGTGGTGTTGGTGGTACTGGCGGTGGTCTTGGTGGTCGTGGTGCTGGTGGTGGTGCTGCTGCTGGTGCTGGTGGTGCTGCTGGTTGTGCTGCTGGTTGTGGTGTTAGTGGTGGTGTTTGTAGGTGATGGTGGTGGTGATGATGGTCTTAATGCTGGTGGTGGTGTTGGTGATACTGGCGGTGGTCTTGGTGGTGGTGGTGGTGCTGGTGGTGCTGCTGGTGGTGGTGGTGCTGTTGGTGGTGGTGGTGGCAATACAATGACCGCCGGTCACAGTTGGCGATGTCTCTCTCTCTCTACCCCCTCTCTCCCTACTCTATGTCGATGTCTCTCTCTCTCTCTACCCCCTCTCTCCCTACTCTATGTCGATGTCTCTCTCTCTCTACCTCCTCTCTCCCTACTCTATGTCGATGTCTCTCTCTCTACCCCCTCTCTCCCTACTCTATGTCGATGTCTCTCTCTCTCTCTACCCCCTCTCTCCCTACTCTATGTCGATGTCTCTCTCTCTACCCCCTCTCTCCCTACTCTATGTCGATGTCTCTCTCTCTCTACCCCCTCTCTCCCTACTCTATGTCGATGTCTCTCTCTCTCTACCCCCTCTCTCCCTACTCTATGTCGATGTCTCTCTCTCTCTCTACCCCCTCTCTCCCTACTCTATGTCGATGTCTCTCTCTCTCTCTCTACCCCCTCTCTCCCTACTCTATGTCGATGTCTCTCTCTCTCTACCCCCTCTCTCCCTACTCTATGTCGATGTCTCTCCCTCTCCTCCCTCTTCGGATGCGATTTCGGCGACGTGCTGCAACGCTGCGTTCCGCAGGCGATGGTTGTCTTGTCCCACGAACTCAACACTTTGCCAACTCAAAACGAAGTACCAAGGCCCTCTCCCCCTTCCCCCCTAGCCGACTAACACCGGCTGACTGTGCTCCCCCCCATGGATAAATTGTTGTCTTTGTTGAGCTGAGCGGTTTTGTTTGGACCCCCCCTCCCTCTCCTTTCTCTCTCCAGATCGCGGAATAACTATTTACGAATATATATTATACGTATAAATTAAAAGACCTGGCCCACGGCGTTGCGCCTTTGAGATTCTTCTCCACGGCCAAACCACGAAACAAAAGAAGAGGGTGGAGACTGGATCCGCGTCGCCGTGAGAGTCGACGCCACGGGCTGATCCTTCACACCAAAGCGCCCCTGTAGGTCCGAGCAAAGTTGCGGGGCAGAGGAAATCAACACACATTTGTATCCCTGAAGAGGTGACAGCACGCGCTCACACAGAGACCCATAGACTCACACAGACACCCATAGACACCCATAGACTCACACAGACACCCATAGACACCCATAGACTCACACAGAGACTCACACAGAGACTCACACAGAGACTCACACAGAGACTCACACAGAGACTCACACAGAGACTCACACAGAGACTCACACAGAGACTCACACTGTGTGTCTCACACAGAGACTCACACAGAGACTCACACAGAGACTCACACGGAGACCCATCGACTCACACGGTGACCCATCGACTCACACGGTGACCCATCGACTCACACGGAGACCCATCGACTCACACGGAGACCCATCGACTCACACGGAGACCCATCGACTCACACGGAGACCCATCGACTCACACGGAGACCCATCGACTCACACGGAGACCCATCGACTCACACGGATACCCATAGACTCACACGGATACCCATAGACTCACACAGAGATCCATAGACTCAAAGACTCATAGACTCATAGACTCATAGACTCCCCAGTGGCGATATTAACACACCGCACCGGGTACTCATTTCAGGCTGAGTCGACCTAGGGGAGGCCCAGGACCGGTTCAGATAATCGTCACTGGTGTTGGCCGTGAGCGGGAATCGAACCCGGGTCGCTAGGTTCATAGCGCAGCACGCTAACCGCTACACCACCGCTCCCCTAATATATATAAACACATAGACACACACATAAACACACACACAGACACACACACAGACACACACACAGACAGACATAGACACACACACAGACACACACACACACACGTGCATCTCACGCTTTGGCTTTGCCCGTAAGAGATGTTCCCAGCGATGGTGAGGATTTGATTTTATATCAAAATTTGTTTACCGTATTAACAAAAGAACGCAGTTCGATATTAACTGCGTTAAAAGTTGACCCGATAACCAACAATCTTGCTGCGACTTACATATATACAGTTTTAATAATCTATATATATAGATAAAATATACGGTGTTATAGATCATAGTTTTATACTCACATTCTTTGGTTCTTTCGGTAAAGTCACGTAGATAGAAAAACTATATTGTTTCTCTCTCTCTGTCTCTCTCTCTCTCTGTGTCTCTCTCTGTGTCTCTCACTCTGTGTCTCTCTGTCTCTCTCTCTGTCTCTCTCTCTGTCTCTCTCTGTGTGTCTCTCTGTGCACCACCAGGGCGTCTGGGCTCTCACCTGGCCACGACCCTGCTACGGGACTTAGTCAATTATCAGTGGGTTTCCGGGGGGGGGGCGTCATTTAAATGGGGAGGAGGGAGGGGATGGGTCAATGTCACTTAGAGTTTGTCCGCATTAACGTGGGGTGGGGGGTGAGGGAGGGGGTGGGGGGAGGGGCATTACGTGACCCCCCCCCCCCCACCGCCCCCCCCGTTTCCTCTCTCTCTCTGCCACTCAATTGTCCTCGTGTTACATTGTTCGATGAAGCGCACACGAGATTATGCGCGCGCCCTGGTTGTGTGCATGCACGCTGAACTTCTTTCGCGCCGTACGTAGCCAACCGTGGCTCATCGGAGGTGCGGGGAAAGGACAACAAACTATGGATCTCTGTGTGAGTCTGTGGGTCTCTGTGTGAGTCTGTGGGTCTATGTGTGAGTCTGTGGGTCTCTGTGTGAGTATGTGGGTCTCTGTGTGAGTCTGTGGGTCTCTGTGTGAGTCTATGGGTCTCTGTGTGAGTCTATGGGTCTCTGTGTGAGTCTATTGGTCTCTGTGTGAGTCTATGGGTCTCTGTGTGAGTCTATGGGTCTCTGTGTGAGTCTATGGGTCTCTGTGTGAGTCTATGGGTCTCTGTGTGAGTCTATGGGTCTCTGTGTCTATGGGTCTCTGTGTGAGTCTATGGGTCTCCGTGTGAGTCTATGGGTCTCTGCATGAGTCTATGGGTCTCTGTGTGAGTCTATGGGTCTCTGTGTGAGTCTATGGGTCTCTGTGTGAGTCTATGGGTCTCCGTGTGAGTCTATGGGTCTCTGTGTGAGTCTATGGGTCTCCGTGTGAGTCTATGGGTCTCTGTGTCTATGGGTCTCTGTGTGAGTCTATGGGTCTCTGTGTGAGTCTATGGGTCTCTGTGTGAGTCTATGGGTCTCTGTGTGAGTCTATGGGTCTCTGTGTGAGTCTATGGGTCTCCGTGTGAGTCTGTTGGTCTCTGTGTGAGTCTATGGGTCTCTGTGTCTATGGGTCTCTCTGTGAGTCTATGGGTCTCTGTGTGAGTCTATGGGTCTCTATGTGAGTCTGTATGTTGAACTTCTTTCGCACCGTACGTAGACAATTCTATATTCCTACCAATATCGAGGCCTCCTGCATGCCGGCCGCGACGAGATGCCTTCAGCAGAGAGGCAGAGAGAGCCAGAGAGAGTTCGTGTCGTGTCGCTGTTCCTCCCCCTTCTCCTCCTCTGTTAGACTTTGACTTTTAAACAACTTTCACTTCCGCCAGCAGCAACAGCACTGGAGGCGATTCCGATACGTAACACACAAAGTCACCAGCAACACAAATAACACAAACGCTACAAATCCACTCGCTGTGGCGCTAAATGCACCGCGCACAACACGAAAGAAAAGTCACGTGGTGGTGGTGGTGGTGATCATCGCGCACGCCACGGTGACGAGCGAGCGCTTCAGAAGGTGAACACGTGGAGGGTGCCGTCCACGCTGGTACAGAGAGGGGCTTGTCCGGCTCCCCAGCGTTCGAAGAAGACGCGCACAGAGGAACGCCGACCGCAGCGGCGACGCTGGACGACGTGCGGTGGGCACGGCTCTCGTGTGTGGGCAGGGCGGGCGAGGGCAGCGCTGCCCTCTGTTGGGCGTGGAGCAGGAACATTAACTCGAGGAAGAAAGGCGAACTCGGAGGTTGCTCCGTGAGGTCCGCTTCCGTGGGCTGTTCTGTGTGGACCAGAGAGCGTCACCTGAAGAAGAAGAAGAAGAGGAAGAAATCTCTCCGCACGCAAGCGGCCCACGGTGTGGGTGGTGGTGCTGGGTGGTGGTGGTGGGTAGTGGTGGTGGTGGTGGTGCTGGGTGGTGGTGGTGGGTGGTGGTGGTGCTGGTTGGTGGTGGTGCTGGGTGGTGGGTGCTGGTGGTGGTGGGTGCTGGTGGTGGGTGGTGGTGGTGGTGCTGGGTGGTAGTGGTGCTGGGTGGTGGTGGTGCTGGGTGGTGGGTGCTGGTGGTGGTGGGTGCTGGTGGTGGTGCTGGGTGGTGGTGGGTGGTGGTGGTGGTGGTGCTGGGTGGTAGTGGTGCTGGGTGGTGGTGGGTGGTGGTGGGTGCTGGTGGTGGTGCCGGGTGGTGGTGGGTGGTGGTGCTGGGTGGTGGTGGGTGCTGGTGGTGTTGGGTGCTGGTGGTGGTGCTGGGTGGTGGTGGGTGGTGCTGGGTGCTGGCTGGTGGTGGTGGGGGTGGTGGTGGGGGGTGCTGGTGGTGTTGCTGTGTGGTG